CATTAATCCAGCATCGTCTAGGTCTTTCTTCATCTGAAATTTGTATCCAGAGCAAATGCGCTGTCAATCCAATAACTAAAATTTGTTTTTATCCGCTGTAATAATGAGGACTGTTCTAAGCAAAAAATGCTTTCACTAGGAATAATAAAACAGAAACCACAGTGTACCAAAGAAAAAACGTCATTTTTCCTTGCCTGTGCATTCTAAGTATCATCATTCGCCTGCCGGAGCCTATGAGGCCCCCAGCAGGCACCCAACAGAATACGAATGGATGGTTGACAGAGAAGGGATGCAAGTACAACCGTTAAAACAGGTAAAAATCGACATCGACCGGCGATGAGGTGCAGTTCGAGTTGCACATCTCATACGCTCTGTCCAACGTCTGATATGAGATATCCACGAAACTTAGCGTTCAATCCTTCATCATCGGGACAACTACAAATCAACTGTTTCCATCCCGCCCAAAGTGCTTCATGCTTGGATGACTTCAGTAAACAATGGCCGGTTTATGATCCTTTTAGAACTAGGCAGTACTTTAATGCCACCTCAACAAGCAACGATAACTCAAACTTTTAGTACTAACACAGATAAGGCCTCACAGAAGATTCATCAAGGGCCAACGAATCTGAGGAGAAACTTGTATATACACTGGCTGAGAGAATTCGAATTTTCTGGATAATTGGACACTTTTTGAAGTCCGCTTTTCAAGCAGCCTTTAAAAAAATATATCTTCGACCTATGATTAGCTAAGAAATTATAACAAAAAAACTAAAGGGAAAGGAAAATGTTCACTCATAAATTGCCAAGAAGGACGTCGAGGATACATCCAGACGCAAACAAACATCAAAAATGACACACACTGAATGCAAGAATGCAGAAAAGAACCATGTGCAAACGACGGGAATCTAGAGTTTGCGAGTTACCAATTTCAGCCGCCCACTCTCAAACCCTCGCTTAACTACATTCACGTAAATTTCGTAAAAAACGAGGTATTGTTTAGCAGTGAAAACGATCGCCGGTGAAGCCGACACTTCCTGGCTGCCGCTCGAGCGAATCAGAGAACCGCGAGTACAAACCTGATGTAAATGCAAATTACAGAATAGAACTTTAAAACAGCGGTAAAATAATCGTTTAACGTTTACCGCAGTCAAGTTGGTCGGCATTCTCCGACGATGACGATGACCTCTTGGCTGTCGGTCGATGCTCGAAGAGCCGGTGACACCATCGGTCGTCGAAAAGCAGCAGTTATTCTTAATTAACTTTCAATCGAGTGGAGTCGATCACTCAGCATCACTCATCCACTACTGACAGGCTGGGCGCCAACGACAACTGCGAAGCAGGGCGCCATCGCATTTACCAACATCATATATCACAAGCGATCTTCGGTGGCAACCGGTTTATGACACTGATAAGAGGGTGAGGGGAAAAGTTTACAGGAAACGGAAAGAAGACGGCCAAAAGACGGTCTCGTTGGCACGAACACAACATCGGCTAATCGGCACTCCCTCCACCGGCCCCACGCTTCGAACACGAACAGCGCCGATGAGGCGTCGAAACCAATAAGACCTAAGCATCAAATTCCAAAGCTACCGTAACATTAAACAATTCCTGTTAAAACGTTCCTTTACCACAAACATCGCATAGGTGACGAATCAATACTTTGCTTAAAAGTAAATATTGCAAAGATGATCTAAACTCGCTTAAGGAAGGCTAATTTCCGGTGCGGTAACAAAGGAAAAGTAAGACTGCCAATTTCAACGACGATATCAGAAAGGGTTCTTGTACCGATGTAGGGTCAAAAAACTGCCGAGTACTTTCAAAGATTACTGAATGATAACACTGTTTCAACTTCAAACAAGAAAATTACCTGAAAAACAAGCAAAGAATGTGACGAATGAGCAACAGCTAACAATAAAACATTAGTGCTGTTGTGTTGTGTCGTCATCTAAGTTGACAGACCATGAAGGTTCCATTAATATAAGACTAATGATGCTTAACGGGCAGGATGAAATTTCGGATTAATCTAAGCATTAGCTGGTGCGAACAAACCTTCTATGAAGTTGCGTCAGCCCTTCAACTGAACTCGCGATCTTCTGAGCCCATTCGTTCAACGGTTTTTATGGCAAAAGTATTCGAAGATTGTCGTTGTTCAAATGAGCCATGTTGTTGAACCATCACAGTCGCCGATGCCGTAACTCTTCGGAGACTTCTATCAGGCCGGTGGTTTTGAGTTAGGCGATTATTCGAAACTTGGTGGTACCACCAGACGTTCAGGCATGGAGGCATGATAATCTTGAAAGGTGGGTCAAAAACTAACGCAAAGCCTGATGACAGCACTCTGACAATCAATCATGCACGGAACTGGCTCACGGCAAATGCGCATTGAACCAGTTTCGGAATGGACAAGGTCGCTGCGTTCGCCTAGCCTACCACAAGAAGACGAAGCTTTGTCGGCAAAGCGTATGCGACCTTCGTCTTCAAGAGGTAAAGCACATTACCGCATCTTTCTTGGTCTATCCGAAGATGGTTCAACAGAAACCATTCACCATGGGCAAAGTTCACAGACGTGGATTCTACTTTTGGACCAAAGGCAAGATCATTGTTTTCAGAGTCGCGTCGCCCCCCCCCCCTCAAGTCTGCCCGATATCGTTCTACGTGACGTGTTAATGCTGTCGCTGGTTTGTATCGTGAATGGCCCGGTTAAAGGCGCCGTGTTGGTGGGCGCATAAACACGATTGACAGGGAGATGGCGATTCGCGCTGATAGTTCTGATGATATGAGCGAATGTGTTTGCTGGCCCTTTCGTTGATATGGACAAGCAATATTTGTGAACTTCGGTATCACTGGTGCTGGAGCTGACTGCAGAATTCTTGTCATGTTTTTCACTGCTTCTCTGAGTTCCGTGTCAAACATCGTCGTGTGACTGGGATTCTGAAAACGACCCTGTGCGGAGAGCTACATAGCACTATGGGTGAGGTTGTAGAAAGTAGAACATTTTTTACCATAAAATGCCAACAACCTTATGTCACATTAATACCTGGCTAGGTACTCCGCTGTCTCTCACAAGTGGCTAAAACCTTTTTCGGTCGAGGATGATACCTAGATATTTTACGGCTTTCTGATAAAGCATTTTCGAGTGTGATACCAGTCATCACGTGTGGCTGCTTGAATGATGACAACTTCGTTAGAAATGAGTGATAGGAGAGGTTCTATACGTTCGTCTTCTTATGGCTGGTTGGCTTAGAAGAGAAACTCTGATAATTCTCCGCATGCCATTACACCAAATACCGATGTCTAACCGTATCCAAGTCACAGCAACACTAAAAGCAATAAAACAGTAACCATACATATACGTTCTGACATACCTGATTCTGGGCCCAACAACGAAATTACGATGTGCGTTGCAAATTCCTGATTGAGAGCGCCAAACCATAATGTTTTAACACTATTAGTACAAACGTATTTTGCTACACATTCCACAGCATCGTCAAGACACAACTGATTATAAGGCTACTAGCCGCACCATGTAACTGAGCGACTGATTAATACCAGCTTTCACTTATTATAGCAGAGGAGGATCATTCATTACACATACGATGTTTCATATTAGGGACTCCTTTGTCAATATACCAAGCTCTGGCCGAACTTGAACGATTACAGGCACATTCGTTTGACTGGCATTTTTCAGAAAGGACGTGCTGTGCAGTGACAGATTATCAACAGGCCCGATGAAAACGCAGATAAGTGCTCTTTAATACGGCTATTCAATTTCCGGTTCGCTTCTCCTACTTATATCTCATCCCATGTTCAACGTTCCATCCGGTTTGCTGTGGGTACAACTCTTGAATTGAAGCATCCCTAAGCTAATGATGATGCTTTCGTAGACCGTGAATCTAATGTTGCTAAGATATCTCCCGACTGACTCAGATACCAATGATATATGCCATAAAATTACGGTAGGTTAGTTCTCACACTGTATCATTAATTTGTAGCTGGAGTGCAATAGTTAACTATCTAGTGCCCGAAACCTGAATACCCACTCTTCAAGAATGCTTCGTAAAGATGTCGAATTTTAGAGTCAAGGGCGCAAACCATGCTGCACATTTCCTGCGGGCGTAAAAGTATGTTTCCCACAACACTACTGAAAAGAACGGGCTGAGAACAAGACCTCGGCTCTAAGTACCTATGCGAGTTGGTCGGTTTCCGATAAACAAAAACCTCAAATTCAAGCGATAGCATCTTCTTCATAAATACATCTAAATTCCAATCGTATCGCATATTCTAGTTAACTTCGGCCATCAATATAAACCATATTCGCCCGTTAATGTTCTGTCCATTCATATAATTTTCAGTACGTTTCAGATGTTGCAGCAGATCGTTTTTTGCTTGGGAATAAAACAAAGAAGTCGTTCGCAAGTCTGGCATTCCGCAATGGCCCTTTCCAGGTGATGCTCGAAATAGAGAAGAGCCAAAATGACACCGACTGCTTGGCCGATTCAAGTCCCAGTTTTTGGTGATAGATATAGTTAGCAAATCAGAAATTCCTGTCTGCCTCACTAGGCGGAAGATTGCCATAAAATCCCATGTTACACTCTCAAGCATACCGACTCTTCCCATCACATACGAAATAACCAGATATATCTATGCATTAGGTTCTGAAAGACCAAGTGACAAAACTTCGATTCGAGATGATATCGAAGGTTAATTTTCATTCTACGCAATCAATTCATGGTGCAAGGCAGTCTTATACTGCGCAATCCTTGTTATATAGTTGTCAACGTTTCGAGCACAAAACAGCGCCCTCTTCGGGATATAACTCTAGCAACGGAGGTTACAGTACATGCTGAGACTAGCGTAGCTTCAAAGAGCGAATACAGTAAATCAAAACCTTTAGTGATGATAAAAAAAAGCTATTCAAACATTGCACAGCGTGTTCTCATTACCACGGATGTGCATCGATTCTGTGATCATCAACTTAGCTTGATTACCTTTAAGGTTAGCCACTGGAAAGTTTTCTTTTCTACCACTGTGACCACTTTCTAACGCGGAGGCAACGAACCGACGTGTTCTGGATTATTGTTTGCCATAGCTCGTCCGCGTTTAAAAATTCGAACTCTTAATGTTCTCAAAGTGTTTGCAATGTAACTCCATTCACAACTGTTACGGTAACACCGTTGATAGTTTTCTGTTCCGAAGAATGCGGCTGCTCTGTCGCCAAAACGTTGGCAACTGTGTAATAAAGGCTTCGGAACATCAGCCTTGTCTTGCGTCTAAAACCACTGAATCGGAATGTTAGAAAAATCTACCAGTTGAAAGACATAATTAGATGATAATGAGGTTCAACCTCGATGTCATGCACTCATTGAATATGCTGATAAAATATCTAAATAAAAACGGTATATAAAACCAGTTCTTATCACTGATCAATTTCAATCATAATTCCGTTATCTATAGACAACTTGTTGAATACCAATTAAAAATCTTCTGCTGAGATCTCATACATATATACATACTTATTCTCAAATAATATTCCCATGGCGGATATTTTATCCTTGGGTCTATCTTTTAATCATATGATTCAGTAGCGCCGAAATAAGGGACAATTATATGGAGCGAACAAAGCAGAATATAAGGTAGTTAAGCTAGTGTTATACAGGATGCAGAAAGCATGATCGGGTGAATAACTTTTGGCAGCCTGATGGAATTCCAGTAATGGTCTACTTTCTGAAACAGACAAAAGGCTTCTTGAATAGTAATTAATTACCACATAAGCAAAATTTAACGGTTATAATAGTTTAGCGAAGGTGCCGTCTATTGGATTACATCCGCCATCGATATTAAGGTTCGTGTCTCACGGGACTTCTTCTTCAAGGAAACACCTGTACTGGTTTTCGGTTGCTGTTCAAAGCTAAGTTGTTTTGAGCGGCAAGGTCGAAATGCGTACCATTTTACCTCAAAGATGTGCAAAGGTGAGGTACAGAAGAAACATCGTAATCCGATATATCTGCTATCCTATAAACCATTTCTTTGCGCTGTCTTTTAATAAGTCGTACTTGTGATGCGTGGCCAACACACTAACTAAATATTCCACTTATTTTATCATGGACTATTCGTAATAAGAAACACAGTACTTGAAATATAATCATTGTTTGCTGTGGACAGC